AGAACTACCATATGATCCAGCTATCCCACTCCTGGGCATTTATCCAAAGAATATGAAGATACTAATCTGAAGTGATATCTGCATTGCCACTTACCTCTGTGATCATCACAGCATTACTTAGAGTATCCAAGATATGAAAACAACCCAAGTGCCTATCAACAGATAAATGGATAAAGAAGATGTGGTGTGTATATACATACACACACAGATATATACAGTGGAATACTACTCAATAATAAAAAGATGGCATTTTGCCATTTGTGATGATGTCTGTGGATCTTGAGGGCATGATGCTAAGGAAGGTAAGTCAGAGAAATACATATGATTTCATTCATATGTAGAATATAAAAAGCTAATATTTAAAATAAATGAACAAACAAAAGTAAGCATGTAGATACAGAGAATAAAGTATTGATTATCAAAAGGCAAAGAACAGTAGGGAAGGGGAAGTAGGTAAAGGGAGCTCAAATATTTGATTGTGAGCACATTGTAGGGTATATAGATGTAGATACGTAATGCTGTATACATGAAACTTATAGATCAGTGTTACTTAAATATTTGAAAATGTTTTACAAGCTACAAGACTAGTATTTCTCATGAACACAGACACTATAAGTACAAGAAGAATACACTACAACCAAATAGGATTTATCCCAGGTGTTCAAAGCCTGATTTAACTTTTGAAAATCAACTCATATAATCCATCACAGTAACAGAGTAAAGAAAAATCATACAATAATATCGATAGATGCAGAAAAAAGCATTTGATAGAGTCCAGCACCCACTCATGATAAAAAAAATTCTCAATTAGGAATAGAGGTAAACTGTCTCAACTTGATAGAGAGTATCTGCAGAAACTACAGCTAACATCGTGTATAATGGGAAGGAGTTGGAACCTTTTGTTCTAACCTCAGGTACAAGGCGAAGATGACGTTGCTCACCACTTTTAGACATCAGGCTGGAAGTTCTAGCTAATGCAGTAAGAGAAAAGGAAATAAAAGGTATAGAGATTGAGAAGGAAGACCTAAAACTGTCTTTATTCACGGATGATATGACTGTCTATGTAGAAAATCCAAAAGAATGGACCGAAAACCTCCTGGCACTTATAAGCAGTTACGCAAGCTTGTAGGATACAAGGTTAATACACAAAAATCAAGCAATTTCTTACATACCAGCAATGAACAAGATATTTTAAAATAAAAACAATATAATTACCATTAGCATATCATACAATGTAATACTTAGATATAAATCTAACAAAATATATACAAGAATTATATTTTAAAAATCTACAAAACTTGATGAGTAAAATAAAAGAATTACTAAGTAAATGGGGAGATGTTCCATGTTTATGGATAGGAGGACCCAATATTGTCAAGATACCGTTTCTTCCCAACTTAATCAGTAGATTCAATGCAACACTGAACAAAATCCCAGCGAGTTAACTCATGGACATCGACAAATTGATCCTAAAGTTTATGTGGAGGAACAAAAGACCCCGAGTAACTAACAGAATATTGGAAGAATAAAATAGGACAGAACTGCAAGCTAAACTAAACCTAATGCTACATAACTGAGACAATGTGGTATTGTCAAGAGAATAAACAAATATGTCACTGGAGTAGAGGACAGAGCCCATAGGTAGAGCCATATATAGTCAACTGATCTTTGACAAAGGAGTGAAGGCAATATAATGGAACAGAGAGTCTTCTCAACAGATGATGGACATCTACATGAAAAAAAAAAGAATCTGTACATAGACCTTAACACCTGTCACAAAAATTAACTCAAAATAGATCACAGACCCACATGTAAGCACAAAGCTATAAAACTTGTAGATTACATAGAAGAAAACCTAGATGATCTTGGGTTTGGTGATGCCTTCTTAGGTGTAAACCAAAAGCAGAATCCATGAGAGAAATAATTGATAGGCCAAATTTTGTTAGAATTAAAAACTTCTGCTCAGCAAAAGACAGTGTCAAGGGAATGAGAAGGTAAGCCATAGATTGGAAGCAAAAATTTGCAAATGACATATTTGAGAAAGTACTGTTATCCAAAATATACAAATAACTCTCAAAACTCAGCAATAAGAAAACAACTTAATTTAAAAATGGGTCAAAGGCAATAACAGATACCCCACCAAAGAACTTAGATGGCAAGTAAACATACGTAAAGATTCTCTCCGTTGTATGTCATCAGGGAAATGCAGTTGAAAACAATGAGATATCACTACATACACTAACAGCACCAAATGCTGATATGAATGTGTAGCAACAGGAACTCCTGTTTGTTGCTGGTGGGAATGCAGGGTGGTCCACTTTGAGGTTAGTTTTATAGTTTCTTAAAAAACTAAACGTACTCTTAGTATGCAACCCAGCAATTACACTCCTGGATATTTACCCAAAGGAGTTGAAAACTTAGATCCACACACAAACCTGTACACATATGTGTGGCATCTTTTTATTCATAATTGCCAAAACTTAAAAGCAACTAAGATATCTTTTCCATACGTGAATGGCTAAATAAACATACAAACAATGGGATAATATTGTGTTAAGAACTATCAAGTCATGAAGAGATACGGAAGAACCTTAAATGTATCTTACTAAGTGAAAGAAACTAATCTGAAAAGGCTGCATACTGTATATGGCATCCTGGAAAAGGCAAAACTCTTAAGACAGTAAAAAGATCAGTGATTGCCAAGGGTTGAGGGTAGGAGATGGGGGAGCAGTGAATAAGTCTGACACAGAAGTTTTCTAGGACAGTAAAAATACTGTGTATAGGTATTATACATGTCATTGTACATTTTTCTAAATCCATAGAAGGTGCAGTATCAAGATAGAACTGAAAAAAAAAGAGCTGTAATGTAAATTATGGTCTTTGGGTGGTTATGATGTATCTGCATAGGTTTATCAGTTGTAATAAATGTACCACTGTGATAGGAATGTTGGTAATGGGGAAGACTATGCATCTGTAGAGGCAAGGAACATATGGGAAATCTCTCTCCCTCCCCCAGTTTCATGAATCTTAAACTGCTTTAAAAAATTAATTTAAAAATAAAATTTTTAAAATTACTGAGTGCTTACTATGTGCTATTATTATGAACAAAGCTGATTTAGTGGTAGAATAGTAGACTCAAAATCAGAAGAGTCTATTCAAGTCCTTTTTTGTCACTTGTTAGTCTTGACACCCTTAGACAAGGCACTTGATGTCTTTGAGCCTTACCTATGATAGTGTTCTCTTATGATGTTATGGGAATCAGATTAACACATGAAGTTTTTTGGAAACTAGCAACGTGAAGATATTAAGGACTTACTATTATTAAAATAACTAAGACATGACCATTGGCTCTTAAAATTTTTTTGTTTGCATGCTTTGTAAATAGCATAAATGAATAAAGCAAAACTGTATAAAAGAGAAGTACTGTTAATGGTTATGAATTTAGAAAATAAAATTTCAAAAAGAGGGCAATACCTTTTAATGTGAGTGGAAATATTAACATTTTAATAGAATAGCAATAAGACAAATTTGACTTTCCAGGTTTCTGCTTGGGAAAGAGAAGATAAAATGAAAAGATAGTCTTTCTAAAGAAAGAATCCTGTGCTGTGCTGTGCTCAGTCGTGTCTGACTCTTTGCAACCCCATGGACTGTAGCCCACCAGGCTCCTCTGTCCATGATTCTCAGGCAAGAATACTGGAATGGGTTGCCATGCCCTCCTTGAGGGGATCTTCCTGACCCAGGGATTGAACTCAAGTCTCCCACACTGCAGGTGGATTCTTTACATCTGAGCCACCAGGAAAGCCCAAGAATACTGGGGTAGATAGCCTAACACTTCTCCAGGAGACCTTCTTGACCCAGGAGTCAAATCTGAGTCTGCTGCTTTGCAGGCAGCTTCTTTACCAGCTGAGCAACCAGGGAAACCCAAAGAAAGAATTGCACAGTATTATTAGCAATTTTCTCAGAGTTAATTTTTTTATAGCAAAAATGTCAAATGCTGATTTGCACTTGCCACTATTAAGTAAAAGTAGCTTGGCTAGTATTAATGTTATACCAGTCTAATTAAACTGATTTTTTAAAAGTATTTCCACATTCATAGTAGGATGGGTTGGTAGTTGCCTTCTGTAATAGAATTCTTTTTTCTTTTGAAAAGCAAATAGGAGTTACAGTCAACAGAGGAAAATCTGAAAGGAAACAAATTTTCATTTTTGTGGAAACAGTCTGGTTCATTTCTATTCTCATATGATCATTCAGCAATATTTTAGCCCAATTGTGCAATGCTTACATTTGGGTATATCTTCCTTTATTTAAAAAAAAAAATCAGGAAATTCCCTGGTGGTCCAGTGGTTGGGACTCTGCTCTTCCACTGCCAAGGGCCCAGCTTCAGTCCCTGATTGGGGAACTAAGTTACCACAAGCCAAGCGACACGGCCAGAAAAACCCCCAAAAATCAGAATAGCCCATGTAAAAATACTGCATTTCTTTGACACATTTTACTCATTTATCTTTGTCCAAATTCTCTGACTCTTGAGAATAATGGTGTATGTGGACCTGCTGGAACTAGGAGTGTTTCTTTACCTTTCTTACAGTCTTTTTAGACACACCTATGCATTAAAACACTGGTTTTTCAGCTCCGCTTGGAGGTTGGCTTTTTCAAAGGAGTATGGGAAATCTAGCAGATACGAGAAAGAGAATACAGTAAACCTATTTACCAACCTAAGGGACTCTATTTATCAACATAGAGCTTCACATTTTCTACAAACACAGGTTACATTTTATACAAATAGACCTCTCACTGAAGATAAAGTCTTTCTGATTCTAGTTTGTAGCACACTTATTCCTGAAATAGTGTAAAGGGAAATAATCCTTTCTTTTTTATGATTTAACAGGGGGAAAAAAGTTTAATTGGTGTGATATAATATTCACTTTCCTAAATTAAATGTTATTTATTCCTGAACTTTGGCTTATGATGTTATATACAACATGTATGCTTTTCTATTCTAGAAGCTGCCAGTGTCCAACAGAAGGTCAATTTCTTGGAAGAAGGTATTTTCTCTTAAAATACCATGCAGTATATTCTAAATCTTTTTGTTGTTGTTAAGAGTAGAAGCAATTTTGGTAGGTATTTAAGAGAGAGGACAGAAGAAGGCCTTTTTCTTCAGGAAAAAAATATTCTTGCTTAAAATCTGAACTGTTAAATGGACAGGTAAAATAGGATAGAATGTGTGATAATGGCTTTTATGATATTTTAAGCATCTTTTGTTGAAATTAATTTAAGAAAAGCTAATATTTTCTATTTCTATCATGTGCTAGCCTTTGATTATGGTATTAAAGTAACCAATTTTCCAAATCTTATATTTGAATAGTACAGTAAAATTTAGTGTTTTTTTTAAAATTTATTTATTTTTTAATTGAAGTATAATTGCTTTACAGAATTTTGTCGTTTTCTGTCAAACCTCAATATGAATCAGCCATAGGTCAGTCTGTTTCTAAGTTCATCATAATCTGAGATTAGTCCTGTGCATACTGAAATGTTTATGTACGGGTATATGTATACACACACCCTGTTTGCAAACATACACACATATATGCAAACACATTAGTGCATATACTAATCTTCTATGAATTTGTACACTAATTGTATGTACTTTTCCTCACCATAAGGTAAAACTTTCCTTCTGTTTAATGTTCATTTACTTTTTTACTCTAAAGCCTTAGAATACAATCTTACTGAATATTCGTTTGGGATATAATTATGTACTCCAGAGAACATGAAATAAATGAGCTCAATTTTAGCTTTTTTAGAACTTTGTGACTCAGGATAGTAAGCATAATAAATAGCAATTCTAGATCTGATTATTTAAAAGGCTTCATTTTAATGTCAGATTGTTTTTATTTATTTTTTTAATCCAGATATTTAAAGATGTAGAATAAAGACTATAATAGTGTGTTTTTATTTTGTTTTAGGGGAAACTGAGGAAAATGATCAAGACAGCTCTGGCGGTGATGTTACTGTTAAGGTCACATCCGGGGATTCTGTTGAGTCTGGAGGTAACGTTGCTTTATGCTTTATGACTCTTCTAAGGAGCTGTAGTTCTAGGTAGAGTATAAAGTATTCTGTGAATCTGCTAAATATTTTAAAGTATTAAAACTACTTTTTAAAAAGTACTTTTAAAAAAGTGTACATTTATTAAAATTACTGATTCCACATAGATATCTGATTAGTAATATAATATCTAAACTAACAAATCACTTCTACCTTGCCTTGTTATTTGTGGAACATATTTTTTTGCACCAAAAAAAAGCTATTTGTGGTTTTTAAAAAACTTTAATAGAGAAACTGATCACACTGGCATAGACTCACTGTACTGTCAGGAGTATTAGCTAGCTTTTAGGAAGTTTTAGTAAACTTAGATTACTACTTTTATCTCTGAATTGCTCAAATTCACACCTAGTTAGCAGTAACAGTTTCTGATTGTTCATGAAAATTGATGTTTAAGTTTATTCAAGGAAAAAATCAACTGAAGGAAAAAGAAGTACCAGCTTGAGGCTTAATGAGAGTGCCGATCAAATTTGTAAACAGTGTAACTTATGAGTAGTTTTATTTATGTTAGTCCCATTAACAATAAAATCTGTACGTATTCTTCCCCACCTTTTGAGAATTTCTGTAATTCCTATGTTTTACTTAATCATTCTTCTTTCAAAATGAGCTCAGAAGCCCGCTTATGGGCATTTGATATTCTTTATATTTCCCACCCTTTGTCATTTTTCCCCATCCTTTCTTGACACATAAATCCCAACGGAGATGTGCAAGACTTACATATAGTGGTTAAGATCATGGCTCTTGAGTTTCACTGGATTTCACTCTTCCAGTACTATTGATAGGTTTTGTGCCCTCAGGCAATTGCTTAACTTTTCTGTTCCTCAGTTTCCTCACTGGTTTGTTGTGAGGTTAAAATATTCAGAGAGTACCTGGCAAATAGTAAACACTCAAATTACGTGCTGTTGTTAGTTGTTAGTTTTCATATATGCATACACCTGTGTTCTAAAACTGAGAGACTGATTAAGCCATTCATATAGCCGCTAGCTCGATACCATTGTCATCAGTGCTACTCTGTGAAACCACATAAACCACAGGCTCTGTAATCCCTTTAGAATTCTAATAAATTCTTAGTGAACCACATATACCCCATGCAGAGGAAAACTCTAGCTAAAGAACAAAGAAGTGAAGCATATTAGGAAGAATACTGGTCTTTCTCGATTCTCTTCTGGGCCTATTGTCGCCACAGAGGGAGAAAATCCACTGGAGTGCAGAAGGAAAATATTAGAATTTAGTGTATTACAGCTTTTATTTCATCCATTTAAAATGTCTATTTTAGTTTGTTTTATAATATGTACAATACATTAGTTAATATTATTTTAGTAATGCTTATATATAAATTAAAAATATATTTTGGAGATTGACGCCCAAAAGTTTTTAAGTTATAGGAGTACACTGGCAAAACTACTTAGCCACTGCCTGGATGTATCAAATATTTTTGCTCCCAAGATAGCAATCTGATTGTTTTTAAACATAATTTGTTATAAATTCTACTTTTAAATGAAAAAAAAAGTTGAAGATTTTTAAGAAGGGAAGACTAAAATATATAACATATTAATCATTTACAAGAAAAATTTAAAGCAAAATGGATGGTAATGATTCCAAGAAGATCCATTATTGTAAACTTTGAAGATTTTCCCCCATTCACAGGTTGTCATTATTTCTTTTATCTCCTGCCATGTTCCATATCTTTTATCTTTAAAAAGAAAAGACAGATAATTAATTTTTTAGATATAACATGACCCTTTAGAAACTATATTTTAATAAATTATACATTCACATTGAAGTGTTGAATTCCATGAGGTTTATCTGAATATTTTTGCTCTTTTGATTATTCATTATTTTCTGGTAAATGTACACTTAGAAAGTTAAATGTGCTTTATAATATACTATATTTCTTTTTTGTTTTTAGACCAAACCACCAGATCATCAAGTCAATATAAAGAATCACTTTGGCATTCATCACAAAGTAGGTAAAATCATAATTTACACTCTTAGAAGTCTAGATGTGATTGTGGTCAAATGCTATTCTGATTTTTGAAGATTGTCTTTTGCAGTTTAGTGTAAAATGTTGAAAGAGGGTATAGTGAATGCTAAAAAAAAAAAAAATTCATCTTGCATCTTGAATTTGCTTCTTGAGTTAATCACCTTTGTACTCAACCTTGATTTTGAATGTAAAAAAAAAACAAAAAACTGCTGCTTTCTGTGGCTTGTTGAATGCCCTGGTTTCCAATATGAATTTGTTGATAAATCAGGTATAGTAAAGTTCATGGTACATTAGTTAGTGTGTATATAACAGTCTTACAGCTTTGCTTCCAACTTTGAAATTTTTCATAATAAAATGTTGAGAAAATGTAACACAGATTGGGAGGTAGTATGAAGATGCTAACAATGATTTGTTTAGGACAGTAAAACCATTGTTAACATTTTTCATTTTCTTTTATCTATATTTTGTAGATTATCTACAATGAGTATGTATTTCTTAGATTAAACAGAAATTACACTGTTTTTTCCTTTTTTCATTTTTAAATAAAATCCCAGAATTCAAATTAATAATCAATCAAAGATATCCTGGAATGTAAAATCTTCAAGGACTTTGTTTTCCTCCCACATGGCCATTTTAAAAATGAGAGTTTTTATATTTTTAAAGAAACATGTTTTTTAATATATGTAATTTTATTTATTTACTTATGGCTGTGCTGAGTCTTCATTGCTGCACTGACTTTTCTCTAGCTGCAGAGAGCAGGGTCTGCTCTCTAGTTGCAGTGGCGCAGGCTTCATTGCAGTGACTTCTCTTGTTGTGGAGCCTGGGCTCTAGGGTATGTGGGCTTCAGTAGCTGCCACTGCTGGGCTCTAGAGCACAGGCTTAATAATTGTGACACACAGGCTTAGTTGCTGCATGGAATGTGGAATCTTCCTGGATCAGGGATTGAACACATGTCTCCTGCCTTAACAGGCAGATTCTTTACCGCTGAGCCACCAGTGAAGCCATGAGACTAGTCATGAGACTATTTTTATAAAGAAAGTCTTTGGAAATCTGTTTTATAATCACTATGTTCATAGAATTCCACTTTATATATGTGCGTGTTGCAATGGCAACCCACTCCAGTACTCTTGCCTGGAAAATCCCATGGATGGAGGAGCCTGGTAGGCTGCAGCCCATGGGGTCGCTAAGAGTTGGGCACGACTGAGTGACTTCACTTTCACTTTTCACGTTCATGCATTGGAGAAGGAAATGGCAACCCACTCCAGTGTTCTTGCCTGGAGAATCCCAGGGACAGGGGAGCCTGGTGGGCTGCTGTCTATGGGGTTGCACAGAGTTGGACACAACTGAAGCGACTTAGCAGCAGCAGCATACATGTATTAGTTTTTAGTAGGTTCTGGGTTTGGAATTTAAAGCATCTGAAACAAAAATCAGTCTTTTATGGAAAATTACTCTGAATCATCTTATATATTTGCCCTTTGTTATTCTAAATCTTTAATTTCTGGAAACTCTGAAATGTGTCCCCCTATATTAATTATGCTATACTTATGTAATGGTATACTTTTCAGTTATGGAAAATGAGTTGTTTGTATAGTTAGGTGATCAGTATATATTTCATTGAATGTAAAATGCCATCGCTTTTACATGTCACTGAGAAAGAAAACCATCCAGTTAAACTTTGTCATACCATTGATTGTAAGATACAGCCCTAACACAAAGGCGTTTTTTAAAAATTGCTTCATAGAATCAATGAAAGAATACAAAAAAGCGTGTGTCTACTTTTTTAAGTTGTTAGTATAGACTGAAAACAAATCTGGAATATATGTCTGTCTGTGTTATTCATCATAGTTTTCCTTCAGTGTTTTGCACATAGTTGACACATAATAGATTTTAATGAATTTTTAGGTTATGCATTTCTAGAAAAGTGTGTTTGTATTACAGCCAGCGTATATTACCTTTATAGTCAGAAAAAAAATTACATTGAACATAAATGTATATTGATGCTTGTATCAGTAGGTAGAAGTAATTTGTTTCTTCAGGGCAGATTTGGAAATCGACCACATTATAATTGTAATATCATTTTCTAATTATCTCCTTGTATCGTTTTATAGTTGTCCTTAAATACCATCCCCAAACATGAAGTAGCATCTTGTACTACTATGCTTATATGGTGTTCTCAATTTTGCTTGTGTAGTATATACTGTTATATATGAACTGCTGGGTTTATATCTCAGTCCTACTACCTTTACATATTTAATCTTGGGAAAATTTTCAGTTTCCTTATTTGTGAAATAGAAATAATAGTATCTACCACATAAAGTATGAGAGTTAATAAAATTACACTTAGTACTGGTAAGCAGTCAGTACATTTAGTCATTATTTTGATGGTGTTCCTCTTAAAGCTAGCTTCTTCTTATCCAGTTCCTGAACATTTTGACGTTTAGGAAAGGAAAACACATATAGGTTGTATATGTTTGGGACTGATGACAGAAAGCTTTGATTTTTTTGTTTGGTTTTGGTGTCAGTAGTAAACAAGCAAAATGTCTATGCATCCAACCATCTTCATTTTTTCCCCCTAAGGTTTCTATGAACTCATCTCTGTTTTCTGTTTCAGGTGGAGACTTCACAGTGTTTGATAAGCAACCGTTAATGCAAAGTAAGTGGTTCATTGTCTCTTCTTTATCAGTTAACCAAGTCTAACCCAGTCTTATTCTGCCAACAAAAATTTGAATAGGATTGAAAGTCATTTTACCCCCTTTGCCTTTTAATCCACCACAGATTGGTACTATATGTAGTATTGGTACTCTGTAATGTGGAAATGTGTTCAGGACTACTTTACCAAACATAATTTATTTACAAAAGTAAGTGGTTAATCTTTCTCTTCTTAATTAACACCAAAGTGTTAATGAAGTTCAAGTGTTGATAATCCCATTTAGACCATAGCAAAGGACTTGTACATAGTTTTGTCTGTTAGATTATGTATTTATTTGTTGCCTCTTTTGCTGTGAGAAGTACTTCATCCTCACTGTTGTGATCTTTTGACATTATCGTTTACTTCTGAACCTATTGCTTTTGTTTTTTCCCTTCCTAACTTTCTTTTACCTTTCTGATAAAATGTGCCTTATAACACTTAGATATAGTATACATTTTCAAAGTATGTGCAGTGATATCTTGATATGTCGCAGGCTCAGGATATCAGAAAACTCCTCAGGAATGGGTTGAACAAACCACAAGAATAAGGACTAGGATGCAAAGTAAGTTAATAAATCTGTACCTGTTACTGAAGTTTTTTTAAATCTCTGTTATTGAAGTAATTTTAAGTTTCTTTGCTGTTTTTTTTATTATTTAACAGATAAAGCTATTTAATTCTTCAGATAAGCTTTTGAGTTGTTTGTGATCTCATTAATAAAGGACATTTATGATTGCTAGTGTAGTTATTTCTATCTATCTGAACTGGTAAAAAATGTAGATAGTAGTGTGAGAAAACCAGTGGATGATACGTCTATACTTGACAAGTTGTCAGTTCTATCCAGCAGTGGTACAGTCTGCACATGAAAATGAAATTCTGATCTTTTGACAATACCTGTTTTTTTTTTTCATATTTAACAATTGTTTGTGTGAAAGTCACTCAGTAGTGTCCGACTCTTTGCAACCCCTTGGACTCTACAGTCCATGGAATTCTCCAGGCCAGAATACTGAAGTGGGTAGCTGTTCCCTTCTCCAGGGGATCTTCCCAACCCAGAGATCGAACCCAGGTCTCCAGCATTATAGGTGGATTCTTTACCAGCTGAGCCACCGGGGAAGGTGAACAGCTGTTTACCATTATGTAAATAAACACTTCGACCAGCTTTGCATGCTCATTATTTTAAGTTATAAATGCTGAAATCCTCAAATTGTATTTTCATATTTAGGTTTAGGATAGAGTAGATGTCATAGAGTTTAAGAAATATTTATTTAAGAAATAAATAGGTATTGTGAAACTTTGAATTCAATGTCTATCATAACATCTATAGCAATGTATCCACATTAAACTTTATATTAAAAAAAATCCATGCCATGCCTTAAGCTAAATTGATAACTCCTATATAGTATATTCTCTGTTTGCATTTCTGCTTTGTCTTAAATTTGTACATTTGCAGTGGCTTAAACATGCTGATTAATAGCCATCCATTGTATATATAGGACTTCCAGAATTAAATAGAAATTATGTAGGAGAAGTTTGCACATCAAGGTGCAGATAACAAACTTTTTTAGGTTTTTGACTGCACAAGGACTTCAAGATAAGAACAATAAACAGGAAGAATTTTCAAAGTAGAAGACTGCAGTGGTTTCTAGGCAGCCTTATAGATTTCTCTTCAACCTAAGATCATTTGAAAAAACTTTTCCTTAGGTTTCCAAGTTTCATATCTCATTGTCTTAACTCTGCACTTCTGCTTCTTTGAGGAAAAAAATACGCATTTTTAGATTTAGGTGAACTTGGATTTCAGATTGTTATTATTCTTTGTTAGCCCTGGCTTCCTGGGTAGACAGGTCCCAGTTCAGGTTTCTGCCTGTATCCAAACCTTTTGGGAAAGATCGAGCCACTATCTTTACTTTTGGTGTTTCCCAGGTGATAAAATAGTGAGAGGAAGAAAGACTGTCCATGGAAAGTCAGGCCTCTAAGTCTATGCTTCATCAATATACATGCTTTGGAACCTGCCTCTGGAAGTGGTATAGAGAAAAGAGGAGAGCTTGGAGTTAGAGCTGTTGGGTTGTGGTCCCAGATCTTCTGTTTACTAATTGAGTGATCTCAGTAAAGTCACTTAACTGTTGTCAACTTCAATTTTCTTAACTTAAAAGTTGGGACAAAAAAAAAAATGTTGGGACAGTAGTACCTATAACTAGGTTATTCTAATGAGCTAGATATGTGAACACATTTTTTAAATCTCAGTGTTTTAGTTGCTCAGTCATGTTCAACTCTTTTTGACCCCATGGACTATATAGCCTGCCAAGCTCCTCTGTCCATGGGATTTTCCAGGCAAGAATGCTGGAGTGGGTTGCCATTCCTTTCTCCAAGGGATCTTCCCAACCCAGGTTTCCTGCATTGTAGGTGGATTCTTTTACCATTTGGGCCACCAGGGAAGCCTAGGTCTCAATGTTTCACATGAAAAGTGAAAGTCAGTCTGTCTGACTCTCTGCAACCCCATGAACTATACAGTCCACGGAATTCTCAAGGCCAGAATACTGGAGTGGGTAGCCTTTCAAGGGATTTTCCCAACCCAGGGATCGAACCCAGGTCTCCTGAGTTGCAGGCAGATTCTTTACCAGCTGAGCCACAAGGGAAGCCCCATGTATCACATAATTAATACTTATTATTAACTGTATATGTGTAATAATCAGTGGTAATAGCTATGAAATATTCATGGCCTCTGCTTTTGACTTTATAGAGTGATTGATTGCTACCTATTCTTTGTATTGAAAATAACTCTGAGCTTTATCTTTTTAAGAAGATCTTTTTTAGAGGAATTTTTATTACTGTCTAAAAATATTTTTAATAAGAAAGAGAGAGTTTACCTTTTAAACAATGTGCTGCCTCAACAGTATATGCCTTGCTAAGTTTGCATTCTTTGAATTCTATAAATAAATATTTCATACAGTTTATAGTAACTGTTATAGTAAATTTTCATACAGTATATAGTAGCTATTCTATATCTTTAAAATAATCATAGAAGGGCATGTAAAAACATTTTTATATGTTGTCACATTGGATCTTTGCAACCATGGATTAAGATATTCAAGATAAACATCTTGATGGATTTTCTTCCTTTTAAGAATATTTTATTGAAGTATAGTTGATTTACAACGTTGTGTTAATTTCTGCTGTATAGCACAGTGATCCAGCTTTATATATATATATATGTGTGTGTGTGTGTATATTCTTTTTCATTTTCTTTTCCATTATGGTTTATCACAGGATATTGAATAAACTTCCCTGTGCTACACACAGGGACCTTGTTTATCCAGCCTATACATAATAGCTTGCATCTGCTAATCCCAGACTCCAGTCCATTCCTCCCCCACCCTCACCCTCTTGGCAGGTCAGCCTGTTCTCTATGTCTGTCTATGTCTATGAGTCTGTTTCTGCTTTGTAGATATGTTCATTTTGTGTTGTACTTTAGATTCCACATATATGATATCATATGGTATTTGTCTTTCTCTGACTTATTTCACTTAGTTTGATAGTCTCTGGGTCCATCCAATGCAAATGGCATTATTTCATTCTCTTTTATGGCTAATACTCCATTATGTGTGTGTGTGTGTGTGTGTGTATGTGCCACATCTTTATCAATTCATCTGTAACTTATACACATTTAATGTATACAATTTATGTGTTTAATGTATACAACTTGATGAGTTTGGACATAAGTGTACACCTGTGAAACCATCACCATAATCTGTGCCATAACGTATGTATCACCTCCAAAAGTTTTTTCCCCACCCTCTTTATTATTATGTGTGTGAGGTAAGAACACGTAACATAAGAGCTACCCTCTTAGCAGCAAGTTTTTAATATATAGGACAATAAATACAGGTACTATATAGTAGATATCTAGGATTTATTCATCTTATTTAACTGAATCTGTGTACTCTTTGACTAGTATCTTCTGATAGCCCCCGTCCCAGGCCCTGGAAACTACCTGCTTCTATGAATTTGACTATTTTAGATTCCTCACGTAAATGACATCATGAAGTATTTGCACATCTGTATCTGACTTATTTCATTGGGATAATGCTTTCCATGTTGTCAAAAGTGGCAAATTTTCCTTCTTTTTAAAAGATGAATAATAATTCCATTTTGTGTGTGTGTGTATCACATTTTATCCATTAATTTGTCAATGGGCATTTAGTTTGCTTACATATTTTGGCTGTTGTGAATATTACTACAGTTAACATGAGTGTGCATATATCTTTCCAAGACCCTAATTTCAATTCTTTTGGATATATATCCAAAAGTGGGATTGCAAGATCATATGGTTGTCCATTTTTATCTTTTGAGGAACCTCCATAATTCTTTTCCTAGAGATTGTACCAGTTTGTATTCCCACCGACAGTGTACAGGGATTCTGTTTTCTCCACATCTTCTCCACATACCTTGCACTTTTGTTTTTTTGATAATAACTACACATTACATCTGATAATATGAGGTGATGTTGTGATTTTGATCACATAAGTCATCGTGCTTTTTAAATTCGATGTAATCCCATGGTCTATTTTTACTTTTGTTGTCTGTGCTTTTGGTGTCATAACCAAGAAATCATTGCCAACACCAACTTCAAGAAGGTTTTAACCCAAGTTTCTTATGGGAGTTGTATTATTTCAGTTCTTAGTTTAAGTCTAGTCTGTTTTGAGTTGATTTTGGGGTGTGGTATATGATATGGATCCAATTTAATTCTTTTATAAGTGGATATCCAATTTCCCCAACACCATTTACTGAAGAGACTGTCTTTTCTTCGTTGTGTATTCTTGACACCCTTATTGAGGATCAGTTGACCACATCTTAGGTTTATTTCTGACTCTGTTCTCTTCCATTGGTCTATTATGTCTTTTTATGGCCGTACCATAATGTTGTGATTACTCTAGCTTTGTGATATATTTTGAAATCAGGAAGTGTGGTGCCTCCAGTTTTGTTCTTCTTATTCAAAGTTGTTTTGGCTATTTGGGATCTTCTGTGGTTCCATATGAATTTTAAGATTGTTTTCCTTTTCTGTAAAAAAGAAATGCCATTGGAATTTTGATAGGGATTGCACTGAATCTGTAGCTTGCTTTTGGTAGTGTGGACATTTTAAGAATATTCTCTAGTCCATTACCATGGGATGTCTTTCCATTTACTTATATCTGCTTTAATTTCTTTCATCAGTGTTTCAGAAGTTTCAGTTATAATTCTTTTACCTCCTTGATTAGTCTTATTCCTAAATATTTTCTTCTTTTTGATGCTGTTGTCAGTGGGAGTTCTGTTTATGTTAACTTTGTTTTCTTAATTCTGTTCTATGAGTTATAAATGTTATATATGTTTCATAATAACTAATTTAGCTATTCTCTATTATTAAAATCATCATGTACGTCACAGATTTTTCATATATTATTTCATTTGATCTTTGCAGTCAGGGAGTAAGGTATTTAAGATAAACATCATTTAGTGGAATTTTAATTTTAATTTTGGTGACCTAACTTTGAAGCTTCTAAATGATGACATTTCCTAGACTAAACTAGTAATTGCAAAGCAGTTATCAGGTTAGAGTTAAGATTGATGCCATTTTGTTTCATTTGAGGTTTTTTGTCATATGACCAGAAATAAGGCTATTTCTATTAAAAACAACAACATAAATTAACAGTGCTAATTGTATTCCTCCAGTTTAGTCCAGTGTTTCTCCAGTGAAAACTGTTGGTAAATACTAGAAAGATCACTTATACACATAAAAGCTAAAAACTCCAGGCAAGTGATAGGTGACAGTATTGGTAATGTAGATCATACAAATGAATAACTCAGCCTCTTCACCTTCTGAACGCTGTCTTTCCATTTCCTTTTTCTTAGATGTTAAAATCTGTCACCATGTCAAAAAAGATGGAGGGGGAAAGGAAAGAGCTGGATAGTTTTTTATTTGTTTTCTAAAGTAATGATGGAAATAGAGATTTGATGGAGTTGTAAGAAAATTATTTTTGACATCTATTGTTTAACTAGCCACAAAGCTAAAACAGAATTACTTGTCTATTAATAGAAATGGTGAAAAGTTTTTTAGTGTAATTTCTAAAATATTACTGTTATTTGTAATGGTCAGAAGCACCAGAGGCAGTATTGAGTCCGTTTGAGGTAGAAAATAAGAAGATTTAAGATTGAATTTTACTTTAAAAATCCCTTACCCAAATAGCTCAGTAATCCATAATCCATGTTTTGTCCTTCTGTCCCTCTTTACAGCATCATCACCAGGCAAGCGTTCAATATATGGCAGTTTTTCAGATGGTATAATATGTTTCCTTTTATTTTAGTTGTACTTGTTTTCTTTGTCCTCTTGCCTTTGTCCCGGAAATTTCACCACTCTCATTAAATAATTTGGGTCAAACTCAAGGCTTTCTCACAAAACTAATGTATTAAGAGTATGCTTTGTACTAGACTCTTACATGCCATGAATAATTATGAAAGAAACGGGTCTTGTGTCTCAAACCACTGTCAATCTATTAGACACTTGAATCTTCTGCTTTTTCTTCTGCTTCTGGCTGATCTCTCCCTTATTTTCTCTTGGTGAAATTTGTATTTTCTTTTTTCTATTGGATATACTGAAATTATGAAACATAAATTGATAATCTCTATTACTCCTATCACTAGATGACAGTGTTCAGAAATCAGAGCTTGGAAACCAATCTCCATCAACCTCCAACCAACGTAAGTTTGTCTATTCATCTTTTATTAAATGAGTCTCAGTCTCAATACCACTTAGCACTAGAAAAGTTAATAAGTATCCCTTAATAAGTATCCCTAGAGACCTTTGGGGAGAAAAGGGTTATACCTGTCCATAATTACCTAGAGATTACAGCTGAAAAAAAATTTTTTTAATGTTTTTCAATTATTTTAAAATAATTTTGTGTTTTCTCTAATCTCTAATGCCTGGTTTAATAAAATGAGCTGGAATTTCTTTCTGCTTCTGTATTCAGCCTGTTCCAATAGATTGTTTTGGTTGAGGTATCTGCAAAAATTTAGCTTTGTACAGATATGTAATGTTTTAATAATCTTTAGACAGTTGTGAATATTCTCTTTTGATACTCTCCCAAACTCAGATAACATTAGCTTCTAAATGTTATTTGAAATATGAACTCTGAAGCCGTATTAATGAGCTTTTTGTGTTCTGTCACATTAAAACCCATTGGTCTTTCTTGTACTTTGAGTATCATGCACTGGTCATTTGGAAAAGGTTGGTTCACTAAGTTATATCGATCTTCCAAATGCTGACATGTTTTTAATCTGATATAAAAAGGTCACATTTGTTAAGATCACTACCAGTCTCAAGACAGAGAAGTCTTAAGTATTGAGAGCTGTTAAATTCATGATGGCAGATATCCTGCAACTCTAATTTTCACTTGAAACCTTGAATTTTATCACTGTGAACAAAGATTGTCAGTTTCCTTGAAAGCAAGAAGCTCACGTTGTTCCTTTTCAAGAAAATGTCTCCCAAATACGAAGTCTGAGTAGCCATAGTTTGTCACTTGTCCTTTCCAGTAAAAATTCTATGAAAAAAAGCACTAGTTCAGCTCACAACTCAATTGCGCAAAGTGCTTTATATATACTTCCCATTTCTTCACATAGACTGTTATACTCAAGGGTTGAGGTTTAATAAGGTAAATAGCTTTAAATGCTTCATGAAGGATGTTCTTAGGTGAAATTGATAACCTTGAATACATGGCTGTGAAGAAGACAAAGACAGTCCTAGTATAGTTTGGTGCCACTGCCCTGTGATTGATCTAAAGCGTCAGTTGTTTTTCCTACTATGGCTTTTTACACCATTGGTGCAGATATCAATATGGCGGGAAGAGGTGAGTAAGATCTTAGTGTTAGGAGAACAGCTTTAACCTCAAACATGCCCTTGAGGAAATCTCGAGATAGCCTGCCAGCCATACTTTGAGACCTGTTGGTCTACAGGGTCCATAAATAGAAAGAAAAAATATGATTGCTGTCATATTTAAATGGTTAAATGATAAAGTATATGAGAAAATGCTTTATAAACTGCAGCTGCAAAGCACTAGGTAAATATAAATTGATATCAGTGCCAATAATAATTAGGAGTGAGTTACAAATGAAATTTTGCCAATGTTAACAACTACATGCCACAAAAGATAAGCATCAGTGCAATTATATGGAAGATTTCATGTATAATGCATCCTTTTGTTTATCCCTTTTTATACTTAAACAGTCCACCTTGGAGAATAATGCATGTTAGTTTCTAAATTTAAAACTATTTTGTAAAGTGTCTTCTAATATTGTTTACCTCCCAAATATTAGCAGTAGTAATAATAGCTCTGCTTTATAAATTATATTCTTTCTGATTTGCATATGCCATTTCATATATTTAAATTCTACTTTTCCTCATTTTGATATTGAAGAGACATATGCATGCCCATATGCATAACTTAAAATACATGTGTTAAATTATTTCTTTAAGAAAGTAAATTATCAGCTCCCTTCTTTAAATTCTTCTCTCTCTTATCTAATGTTTGTAAAGATTAATATGGGCTTTAAAAGTCACTTCCTCTTGAATCTCAGAAAATAATGTTTGTGCGTGTCATGTTTTTTTTTTCCTGAGCAGAAATGACTGGGCAACCCAAAAGTGCATCTTCTGTCAAGACAAAGTGGTATTGGCCCCTTGTTGTGATAGCCGCTCTTCTCATTGGGAGTTTTTGGTATACTCGTCCTCCTGAAGCAGAAACCACTGCTGTTCAAGAGTTCCAGAACCAGATGAAACAACTGATGAATAAGTACCAAGGTCAAGATGAGAAGCTGTGGAAAAGGAGCCAAACGTTCCTGGAAAAACATCTTAATGGTTCCCAACCTCGGCCTCAGCCTGCGATTTTGCTGCTCACTGCAGCCCGAGATGCTGAAGAAGCACTCAGGTGTCTGAGCGAACAAATCGCTGATGCCTACTCCTCCTTCCGTAGTGTTCCTGCCATCCGGATTGATGGTGCCGGCAAAGCTACTCGAGACAGTGATACTGTCAAAGAAGAAGTAGATCAGGAACTGAGCAATGGATTCAGAAATGGCCAGAATGCAGCTGTGGTCCACCGCTTTGAATCACTGCCTGCAGGCTCTACTTTGATCTTCTATAAGTATTGTGACCATGAAAATGCAGCCTTCAAAGATGTAGCGTTAGTCCTAACTGTTTTGTTGGAGGAGGAGACGCTTGGAACCAGTCTAGGCCTAAAGGAAATTGAAGAAAAAGTGAGAGATTTCCTCCAAGTCAAGTTCACCAACTCTGACACACCCAACTCCTACAAACATATGGACGCAGACAAATTGAGTGGACTCTGGAGCCGTATTTCTCACTTAGTCCTGCCTGTACAACCCGAAAATGACCTGAAAAAGGGCATCTGCTTTTAAAGGAAGGCAGAAGAGAAAATTATGTCTCGAGTGCTGAGGATTTTTTCAAACTTTCTAACCAGACAGCACTCAGAGCTCTTTTTGAAAGAACGGGTTTTTTTTTTTAAAGGAGGTTAGGTTCTTAGATACACATGGAACATCTGTATTGTTTATTCAGACTAATTATCTGTTACCTGAAAGACTCATTTCCCACTGAGATCTGTGTTAATGTTATCTACAGACTATAAATTATATACAGTCCCATAGAGGATCTACTTAGATTCCAGAGTGAATCGTTATTGCTGTGGTATGACCAGTGGGAGGGATTTGCCTCCTTCCTATAAATCCTCCCCAATTTTTTAACTTGGATTTTTTTTTCACAGAGTTTGTTATTAGTAAGACAGCTCCCTGAATGCAACTGTGGGCTTTCCTGTTTTGTTCTCTTTTTACATCATTTAGATGTGAATTCCTTAGTAAGCTTCTCCTTATAGGAACAAAAATAATGAAAGGCCATCTAAGTGTTTGTTTGGGTATTTCTTTCTTTTTTTCTTTGATTTTGGAGGGCAGGGAAAAGGAGACCAGGGAAAAGTTGTGGAATGGAGAAGGAAAGGGGAGGAAAAGTCTTCAAGATGAAATATTAAAATAAGTCACTGGGGGGATTCCTACATGGTCTAATGGGTGGGACTCCATGCTCTCACTGCCGAGGGCCTGGGTTCCATCCTTGGTTGGGGGGCTAAGATTCTGCAAGCCGCCCCATGCACACTCAGAAATTTTAAAAAAAGTCACTGCCACCTGGGGTTCATCAAACATAGCTATATGAACTCCATTCTCAGTGAATTCTGTTGGGACTTTTATTTTCCTCTAAGAAATTTTTACTCCTCCCAAGGATTCTGAAGCATGTACATGATGAGGTTTAGTATACTTGCTCACTTGGCTCTTAAGAACGGGCAAATTCAGGCAGTTTATTTTGTTCATATCCTGAAAGTTTTGTTAAGAAAGATAATGTCAGAAATTGGTAAATCGTTTTGTCAACCATCTCTCCTCAGTGACTGAAGAGGGATTTGATTTTCTGCATGTCCATTTGTTGCAGTCTAAGTCCTTTAATGACACTCTTGTAACAAGTATAAAGATATACTATGCACATGATAAATTCTATTGAGTGCCTCAAGCCAAAAAGAAAGTGAAGTTTACTATATATGAAGGATGTTAAGATGTACTGCTGTACATTACTGTACCATAGTATTTCAGTTTTAACTTTGCATCTCTTTACAGCTTTCTCATCTGTCAACAGCTTTGGTTTTCTTAGAATCTCAAAATTCTGGAACAACTTTATTTTTTTATTGTCTACAAACCTTTAAATGATAATATTGTTTTTAGGGTACTAGAGCCTGTCAGTGGCTTTATCATTTACCTTTTGAGAACCCCATAACTGATGGTAGAATATGATCTTATTTCTTCCACTAGGACTACCAGTATTCGTAAATTTATACTCCTTATTATAATTTGTTCCCAACACTGTCAGAAGTCAGATATTCTTGATTTATAGAGGATTCTAAAACAAGAATTTTTGAAAAGGCTTATTTTATACATATATGTATTATATGGAGAAACAGATGTTTTTATTAACTGTTTCACTGACCAAAATTTTAAAATAATTAATATTACTTATATCAGGAAAAATAATTGTAGCAGCTGATCTGTAAATGACTTTAAAAGCTATTTTAGTAATTTAAATAAATTTACTTTTTTGATTTGTACTCTGTGTGTTGTAAGTTTAATGACTTGTATAAAAATTATTATAGTCATATTATAATTATATTCATACAATTTATATAATTATAATATTATTTATATAAGAATTATTATACTTTCAAAAAATTATTCCTAGGGTTTTCTTTACACTTGAACAATTTCAGTGACTTCTTGGAGAAACAAGAGCAGAGAGAGAACTGGGGCTGCTCACAGTACGTGGTAGAAAATATAGTCACTGTGGTTTTCTCTTTCATCTGTGGATTTTGAATTATCACGAAAGTTGAATTAAAGTATTCCTCACTTGGTAAAAATCTACACCATGTTTCTCAAATTTTCCATTCTCACCTCCCTAAGGAACCTTTTTAGATTTTTTTTTCCATAATCATCTACCCCTATGAAATTTTAATACTGCATACAGACTGTGAATCATACACATATTTTTACACTTTATACACATGAAGGGTAAGATTTTGTTGCCCTCACTAAAAATGCCTGCTCAAGAACATCTGTATTTTAGATCATTGATGCCTGAAACATTGTTTTGTTCATGTTACCATAATACTTTTGAAGGGGAAATTGTAATAAATCATTGGCTTGAAAATAGGAACCTGGGCCTCTAGAAATTAGGCCATTGTGACTTTGGGTGACTACATGGGCCCAGGGAAAACCACAGTGCAATACTGACCTTACAGATTTCTGCTTCCCATCTTTTAATGACTTTCTTATATTACTTGTAAAAAGTTTTCTAAATCTCTAATCTTCAAAAGATAAACTGGAAGTAAATCTGATTTTCATTCTATGAAGAGAATTTAGAAACTTAGAATTTCTAAGAAATTATAATTTGTAACTTAGAATTTGCATAGTTAATACCTAAACTGATTTACCTCTGATCTTAGATCATCAGAAAGTGGACTTAATGTTCACAATATGAAGAAGCATTTCTCATTGACTGCCAAAAAAAACCAGTGGACTTTTCTACATTGCCCTTATCAAGGCCACAGAGTAAAATCTTATGACGATTTTTACTGACCTTAACAACCTGGGATGAAAGCGTAAGTCCTGAGTTTGGGAAACCAAACTGAGAAGTCTTCCATTGTTTGCCATTGACTTGGATAAAGAGGAAACTCCTGCTTTAAGCCTGTCTTTGGCCTAGAATCAGAGAAGTCCTGTTGGGCTTTCAGGTTCTTTTGGATGGTAGGGGAAATATAACCCATCATCTGAGTATAAACAGGAGAAACCTTCAGCAATTTGCAAATTGTAGTCTTCTTGCATACTCTTGAACACTTCTGAAATATTCATATACCTGCCTTCTCTCTTGTCTCTGCTAATTATGCTCTGCTAATTCTTACTTGTTCTGAACCCTTTATTTTTTTAGGCAGAAATTCACTGAAACCTTCCTTAAGTCCCTACTCTGGAATACTGGTGCAGGTGCCTCTTTATGCTTTTGTATTACTCCTGTATTACTACTGACACCACATTTAGCACATTGCCACTACCATATTTGTTGTCTAGTTGCTCAATCATATCCGACTCTGTGATTTCAAGGACTGCAGCATGCCAGACTTCCCCGTCCTTCATCATCTCCTGGAGTTTGCTCAAATTCACGTACATTGAGTCGGCAGTGGCATCCAACCATCTTGACCTCTGTCGTCCCCTTCTGCCTTCAATCTTTCCCACATCAAGACCTTTTCCAATGAGTTGGCTCTTCGCATCAGGTGGCCAAAGTCTTGGAGCTTCAGCTTCAGCATCAGCCCTTCCAGTGAATATTTAGGACTGGTTTCCTTTAGGACTGACTGGTTTGATCTTGCAGTCCAAGGGATTCTCAAGAGTCTTCTCCAACACCACAGTTCAAAAGCTTCAATTCTTTGGTGCTCAACTTTCTTTATGGTCCAACTCTCACATCCATACATGACTACTGGAAAAACCATAGCTTTGACTGTACAGACCTTTGTCAGCAAAGCAGTGTCTCTGCTGTCTAGGTTTGTCATAGCTTTTCTTCCAAGGAGCAAGTATCCTTTAATTTCGTGACTGCAGTCACCAACAAGTGATTATGGAGCCCAAGAAAATAAAGCCTGTCATTATTTCCATTGTTTCCTCATCTATTTGCTATGAAATAATGAGACCCGATGCCATGATCTTAGTTTTTTGAATGTTGAGTTTTAAAAGCCAGTTTTTTTTTCATATTTCTCCTTCACTTTCATCAAGAGGCTGTTTAGTTCCTCTTCGCTTTCTGCCAGTAGGGTAGCGTTATCTGTATATCTAAGGTTGATACTTCTGTCAATCTTGATTCCAGCTTGTGCTTCATCCAGCCCAGCATTTTGCATGATGTACTCTGCATATGTAAATTAAATAAGCAGGGTGACAATATACAGCCTTGACATACTCCTTTCCCAATTTGGAACCAGTCAGTTGTTCCATGCCCACTTCTAACTGTTGCTTTTTGACCTGCATATAGGTTTCTAAGGAGGCTGGTAAGGTGGTTTGGTATTCCCATCTCTAAGATTTCCACAATTTGTTGTGATCCACAGTCAAAGGCTTTACCATAGTCAACGAAGCAGAAGTGGATGTTTTTATACCTCTTTTTTAAAAATCATATTTACAATGAAATTAGATTTATAATATTGTGTTAATTTCTGCTCTACAGTAAAGTGATTCAGTTAGGTATGTATATAGCCTTTTTCATGTTATTTTTATTATGATTTATTATAGGATGTTAAATATAGTTCCCTGTAGTTATACAGTAGGACCTTGTTTATCCATCCTAAATATAATGGGTTTTTTTTTTATCCTAAATATAATGGTTTTTATCTGCTAATCCCAAACTCCCAATCCTTCCCTTCCCTACCGTTCCTCCCCCACTGGCTGCCACAAGTCAGTTCTCTGTAAATGTGTTTCTGTAACATGGATATATTCATTTCTGTCACTTTAAATTCCATGTGTAAGTGATAACAGTATTTGTATTCCTCTTTTTTTTCTATACAATTTAATTTTTATTTATTTTTGGCTGTGCTGGGTCTTTGTTGCTGAGCAGGCTTTTCTCTAGTTATGGTGAGCAGGGGCTACTCTTTGGTTGCAGCATGTGGGCTTTGCATTGCAGTGGCTTCTTTGGGGAGCCCAGGCTCTAGGGCCAGTGGTTGAGTAGTTGCGGCTCCTGAACTCTAGAGCACAGACTCAGTAGTTGTAGCACATGGGCTTAGTTGCTCCACAGTATGTGGGATCTTCCGGGTCAGGAATTAAACCGGTATCTCCTACACTGGCAGGTGGATTCT